TGATGTGGGGTCGGAGACTCGGCGTCGATATCGAAGTCGGACTCGGAAACTACGATTTCTCCATTACGTACGTCCAAACGTATTTCTCTTCTCCTTCTTAAATAGAATATTGTGAGTTATATGATTTTCGGATCGGATTATATTTTTAACATATAGTCTTCTGAACATTAAAATTATTAAATTATTATTAATAATTGAATGTAGAGAAAATATTTATTAAAAATATGTTAATAATTTTAATATTTAATTTACGTTTTTAATGTCTAATCTTGAAAATTACTTTTTTTATACTGTTATAAGGCTAAATTTTTCTTTTTGATTGTTATGAATGAGTTTCCAAAAATTGAAGAAAATAAAAACAGAAGAAGGGATTAAGGCAAAAAAATCACATTAGAGATCTAATGATAAGAAAGGGTATCTATTTTCCTCATTGAAATTGTTATGAGTAGTATATACATACCATGCATAGATGGATAGAAAATTTTTTTTTTTTTATATAAAAACAATGGTTAATATATTAAAATTGTTAAAGTTAATAACTACGTATTCGATCCCTATATCAAGTGAACAGGTCATCGACATCAAAGAGGCACGTAATCATTCGGTCGCTTTGGTGGGGTTTAGACGGATAGGAAATTAGTTGAGTGAAATGGAATGTAAGTTGAGAAAAAGTATTTAATTATTTGAGCATACGGAAGATCAATTATCTTGATCTATATTTTGTGAACGGCTTCTTAATCTAAATTTTACAGCCATGGAAGTTGTTTCTAACTCTAAAGAAAACGTAAAAATGGTTATGATATGTCTTCTTCTCTGGATCTTCTCTGCTTTCTTCTTTAAGAGGAAATGGAAAAACAGGAACGAGAGGACGAAGAACCACAAGAAGGCGGCAACTCCGACAGTGATTGCAACGGCTACCGATTCTTTCTTCTTCTCCGATTCCGAGGAAGTGTTTGGTGGTCGTGCCTCATTCATTTTTAGATCTGGATTTCCACTTACGGTGACCAAAACATGCTGGCTGAACTGAGGAAGATCCCCTGAGAGCTGATTATTGGAAAGTATGAGCTGCGTTAGTAAAACCAATCTAGTCAGGAAATCAGGTACCT